TGTGTGTTTGTGTGAGGTTGTGTGTGTATGTCCTTGCACGTTCATTTGTGGGAGAAGAATAGTCCTTTTCTTCTGGCCAAAGCATGTTGATTGGGGCAGACACACAGCAAATCCATGTTATGTTCTCTGACTCAGCAGACCTGCTGCAACCATGACAATGAGCTTAAAAAAGAAAAGGAAAACAAACTTTTTCATTTGCTAGCTTTGTCAGGATCAAATGGGCCATAGACAGTGAATTACTGTAGGCAAGCTGGGGTCACACCAGGTATCTGTTGCAGTCTGAGGCTTCAGGCCAAGGGCTGAGGCAGTGTCATGGTCAGGGCAGAAGGTAGATCAGAGCTGGGAGATCCAAATAAGGTGGAAAGGGACCATGGCAAGGCTGGGGTCAGGCAGGAGCAAGGCAGAGGTCTAAGCAGCACACACATGAGTGATATTGTTGGGACAAGTCCCTCCGTCAGGAGCTTGTAGTTCCTATAGATTCCTCTGGTCACCTCCATCAGTGTCTTCATGAGAGAGACTAGGCTGAGCTGGGGCTGGTATATGACCAGCTACCTGATGGTGCTGAGGTCTTAGCCTCTGCCTGCCAGCTAAGTTACTCTAGGTTTGAATCCCTGTGGTCCTAACAAGCTTGTACAAATGTCTACAAAGAGGGTGGGCAAGAATTGCCAAGCACCTCTCCTACCACATAGAAAACACTGCTTGAAAACCTTAGCATGACTGTCATCTGGGGGTGTCCTTTACTCACCTTAATTAATCAAGCCTCATGTCTGGGAGGTCTGCCAGGAACATAGACACCTGGTTTGATGGACCATCATTGTTATTATTGCAAAAAAGTGTATTTTGAATTCTCAATCACTGTTTTTTAGAGGCTGGCCCCTTATATCAGGTAAGAACTCATGTCTTTAGATGTGGTGATGTAAGATGGTACTCAATGGTATGTATTTGAAATGTGTTTCATTACCAACTTCCAATCCTACGAACGTATGGAGCTAGACTCTTCTCAGTGGTAGCAGATGACAGAACAAGAAGCAATGGTCTCAAGCAGCAAGGGAGGTTCAGGCTGGATGTTAGGAAAAACTGTCACGCTAGGAGGGTGGTGAAACTCTGGAATGGGTTACCTAGAGAGGTGGTGGAATCTCCATCCTTGGAGGTTTTTAGGGCCCAGCTCGACAAAGCCCTGGCTGGAATGATCTTGTTGAGAATAGGCCTGCTTTGAGCAGGAGATTGGGCTAAATGACTCCTGAGATCCCTTCCAACCCTAATTTTTTATGATTCTATATCTATATGTCACTGGAAAAGTAGAGGTTCCAGATCTCCAGCTGTTCATGACCTTTCCTCTATGGCACTTCCAATGCTGACTGGAACTGGCAAGAAGAACATCCATGTAACAAGGAGAAATATTGAATGATAAAGGGAATATTATGTGCTTTTTCTAATCTTGCAAAATGTTAGTATTTGAATTCAGTTGATGGTTTGGGCAGTTTTGGGGGCAGATCTTAGTTTATGTAAAAATGACTTTGCTAATCCCTCGTCTAGACACTCGGCTTTCCAACACCTGTTCATCTTTACTCCTGCTGTTGTGTAGCACATTCCTTTTGTCTCTTGATGAGAATGATCTGCCCAGCACAAGTTGAAAGGAACTAGTCCATTTCTGTTCCCACAAATGCTGTTAATAGTTTCAGATTTGTGCCCACGACGGGTCATTTGGATGAATAAAGATTATATAATTTTCACTTAACTGTACTTGCTGCATATTGTAAACATCAATATCAATATTCCTAACTCTTAAATGTACTTGTACTGGCTTCCTTGATGGATGAGTAAAAATTGCTGGTTGGTTGAATTCAGCAGCTGTCTTTAGGCTGTTTTGAAGGAAGTAATTAACTTGTGAGGGAAGGGAGGACAGTAGGACCTTAAAACAACCTAAAAAGCTGATATTCTCCCAAGGTACTTCCAGAGTTCTGAGAGAGGAGCAGCAAAAGAGCAGGGTATGGCTTCTTACCCTTAATCTCTGCAGAAGCCACCTTTAGCATTGATAGAGAACAAGTAAAAAGACTCTCAAGCCATTTGGCCCCCACTAAGTTCTATCTTATCCATCCCCTGAGTAGTAGATTATTGCTAAACCCTCCTCTCATGATAGGTGTTTCTCTCATCATTTGAATCCATGCAGATCCTGGCTCCAGGCTTGCCTATCTTTTGAATTCAGAGATGATGAGCATGGCAACACGTCTTAGTGAAGCATCAGAATTCCAGGAAGGATGTTTGAAAGGTGCTTTGTTCTCATTGTGGTAATGCTGTTGGGAGCTGCATTGTGATCAGGCTTATGAAGGTGTCCAGGCTTATAAAGATCCTCATATTTTGGAATGTCTTCAATTGCTGAGTAAACCGGTCCCCCAGTAGGGCTGCCCGGGAGATAGGTTTTCTGGATGCATATTAACACAGCCTCAATCTTGAAGAAGCTCTTGTCAGAGATGAGAAAAGGCTTGGAGGCCCCTCAGCCACTGACACTGCCACTGTTCCCCAGTGCTAAATTTTTGGATTGTGTGGGGAGACCTATGGGCTGGATGACATGGTTCCTTGGCCAGGTCAGGCCAGCTCACCGGGGTGGTCTGTGCCTGGACCTGATGTATGGTATCTGACCTGATGCGAGGCCCTGTGCCAGGTATGGCCCATGGACTGACTGTGCCTCACTCATCCGGTCCACGTGCCAGAAAGATTGAACACCACTGTCCGGGCCATCCTTAAGGAAAATGGTGCCCTGGACAAATTTGTATTTTGGTGCCCTTTCCACACCCCTCACCCTAAATCATCAGTGCTGCTGCAGGAAGAGACAGGCAGGCAGTGGCACAGGGTGCCATCCAGCAGGGAGGTGGAGTGGCATGGTACACCAGACAGGTGGGTGGGAAGGCACCACTGCTGCTGTTCAGGATCAAGGTGAGTGGACTGGAGCAGGTCACCTTGCCTGCACATGCCCAGCCCAGTTCCTCCTGAGCAGTGGCTGGAGGCAGGGGGCTAGTTGAGTTGGCACTGCTCCTCCTGCCAGAGCCAGGGGAGAGCTGTGAGTACATGTTGCTCGTGTGTGTTTGACATGCCTCAGACCACAGCACCCTGGGCAGTCACCCATGTTGCCCACTCATAAGTCTGTCTCTGACTACCATGCTAGGTGAAGGCACAAGCCAGATCTCCTATTCCAGTGGGTTTGCTACTATTTTGGATCCACTCTTGTTCCTACTGAAGTCAGTGGAATTTCAGATTTCCTATTTATTTCCCTAAAAGTTTTGAGTGTGCAGAGAATCTGTGGCCAGGCTTTTAATGATTCTTAAGGGATGAAAAATGCTGGCAAGAGGGTGAAAGATTAGAATTGCTCTTGGCTGCAAATGTTCCGAATGTGTGTATATATATATATATATATATATATATATATATATATATATATATATATATATATATATATATATATATATATATATATATATATATATATATATATATATATATATATATATATATATATATATATATATATATATATATATATATATATATATATATATATATATATATATATATATATATATATATATATATATATATACACACACACACGTGACATTTAAAAAGTAACATTGAGATCCATGATCTCTAGATGAATTAGTTGTAACCATTTATTTTTACAGTAATTGGCTCTGGAAGATCTGTTGCCACTGCCAGTCTGATTGCAATGTTCTCATATCTCTAGCGAGAGAGAATTAAAGTAGCTGTTACTTTTTCAAGACTTGAATTTAGAGACATTGACTGCCTGCAAAACATAGTCTAATGCATTGAGGCCTGGAACTTCAGCCATATTTTTGGTTGTGTGGGTATAAGTTTCATCAAGCTTAATATGAATGGAAACTTAAAAATAAGAAAAGAATTTCAAAATTCTTTGCAGCTAACAGAGCATTCCCTAACAGCCCCATATTAGTGCTTGAAAACCAGGAACTGAAACTGACCATATAAATAATGAATGTTTGTCTGAATCCTACTAAGCTCTTAAAATCACTTATAGCTTGTGGGAATGCAGACATATCAGGAGTGTGGAAAGACAGGTCCAGCTCCCCCCAAGTATATTAGAACTGACTAATATTTTGGCTGGAGAGAATGAAAGTTATAAAATATTTGTTTAAAAACAGAGACTGTTAGTGTGTATGCACTTGCAGAAATGTAAAAACAAGCTATATGTAGCAGGTTAATTAGGCACGGTGTTAAATAATTTCCTTTTGTTGATAAGTGTGTTGCTTTTCAATCTTATTGGATAGCCCTTCTGACTGATCTTCACTATAACATTCAGCATTGTCTACAACTTTACCATATCCCTCTTTTGTTTTAGTCTTCACCTCTCCAAGCTAAATAGTATGAAGCTTAGTTTCTTCTCAATCCTCTAAGAATTTTTGTTCCCCATCTCTGACCCTCTTCTGTATCTGCTTCATCCTTTGGGAGGCTTGTTTGACAAAACTTAGCATAATATTCAAGGTGAGAATATGTCAGTGATCTGTATGATGGTGTTATAATACTTGTGGTGTTTTCTATTTTGTCCTTAATATACTCTAATATACTTGCTATCTTTTCCATCTCTGCATATTGAACACACCTTCACTGAGCTGTCCACAGTGACATTCAGATACTTAACCTGAGAGGTCAGAGTTAATTTAGAATCCATCAGTGTACATGAGTAGTTCAATTTGTTTCCTCTAATGTTCATTACCTTGTACTTGTCGACACTGAATTTCATTTGCTGTCCTGTTCCCCAATCCACTTACTCTGTCCTGATCTCTCCAAACTAGAGCTTTGCCTCTCTGTGAAGTGGAAAGAAATTTGACCCTCCCCCCCCCTTAAATCTTTGACTTTTTCCAGAATCTGCAGAGGCTTACATGAACTGTCTTCATGTGCATGTCTGAAATGACTTCCTACAAGCCAATCTACCCCTCTCTAGCACACTCTGAGTCTTGTCTCTGCTCTAGGTGACAAGAGCTCCTCAAGGAGAGAAGAGCAGCCGGAGGGGTTTTGATGAAAAGGCTTACCTGTCCTCAAAACTGTTGAAGGCTGGAGAAGACCCTTACCGTCAACATGCTTTCAACCAGCTGGAGAGTGACAAGCTCAGTAGCGATCGGCCCATTCGGGACACCAGGCATTACAGGTACTGCTCCACCCTTGTTTAGAATCAGGCCACTTTGTTGTGCTGAGGATCCTGTAACTAGTGACATCCCCGTGTTGCCATGTGCCATGTCAGTGAGCAGTAGTGTCCTTATGGTTGGCAGGACCTGCCCCTCACCTGGCTTTCTGTTTCTTCAGCAGAGAGTTGGAGGTCTCAAATGAACACCAACAGACAGGTGTAACTAGGAATTTTGTGCTATGGGCAGAGATGTCCAATAGCAGACATGGGGAGAGGAGGTGGGGTGGGGGTAGCGTGCAGAGTACCAAAGAGTCTTATGGCACACAAGCTGCTACACCAGTTGCTATCATGGCATGGGCTGCTACTGCTATGGAGCAGACTTCCTAGGGTGGAGGGGCCATACTTCTTGCCTGACCTCTAAATTACCCACCCCTAGTTAAACTACTGCACACAGGACACATCTACATGAGATATATATTGTGCAGTTGACTAATTAGCAACCATATGTCACACGAATACACATGTGCCCCTATTAGGCCAGAGTAGATTAATTAACTCCACAGTAGGAGTACAAATACTTGTATTTACTCTGCAACAGTGCATGTGTAGATGCTTGATATGGCTGGCTGGGGCACAAGGGTGCTTCAGTGTGAGGGCTGCCTGCTGGCTAGCCCCATACTGAAACACCCTCGTGCCATATGCAGCCCCTCTGCAACACATTGAGCCAAGGGGAGCATCCCTGGGCTTGCAGGCTGACCCCCTGTGCCCCCTGCCAGCCAAGGCTTCTCTAATCAAGCTCAGTATGCTACACTCCTGGGTGCATGTGCAGATGCAGTGCCCGGGAACAATAAGCCCTGGTGTTTATTCACGTGCGTCAATAGCATGTGTAGACACGCTCACAAATTCCAAGTCAGCCACTCTTCACCTCCCTGATTGCTGTGCCAGCCCCCTTTAGCCAGATTTATGGTACCATCTTGTTTCAGTTTCAGTTCCTGCCAACTATTTTCATGTAGACACTAACAGCACAGCACGTTTCATATTTGACATTAAAAAAAATGGAGAGCTTGATGTCAACCATATGCTGCTGATATTTGAACCTGTGCTGCTGCATGATTCCCACCACTGACTGAAGCCTTAAAGCTTCAGGGGTCAGAAGGACATCTGCTCCTCTCTTCTTGCTTCAGAAACAAAAGCAAAGCTCAGGCACAGCTGAGCCTGTGGCCCATTATTTTCCAATCACTTGGGAATCCCTTGGACATAAGATACTAATATTATTCAACTCAGTACAAAGAAAGGCCTGACCTTTCCAGAGGCCTTTTTTCTTCTCCTTTGTGATGCTGAAATCTGGGGGCTTCAGAGAAAACAGACAGATCTCTACACTTTCTCACATCTTTCCATCTTAATATCTTTAAAAAGCTCCACCTGAGTTATTTTAGAGTGATAATATATATGGTATGTCTCCTGCCTGGTCTGAAGTATTCCACTTTGTCTTGATCAAGGTTTCTTTATATGCCTGAAAATTGCTGTAATATGCCACTGTCATAGTAATAAAATGCTGTAATGAAAAAATAGTCATTGCTTAGAATAGTCATAAAACAACAGCATTGAACGGGCTGATAAAAAGTAGTAACAGTTTAGTAATAATCATAAAACAATGGTAATAAGTGCTGAAATGAAAATGACAGTGATAAGTCATGGGAAGACATGAATCATTTTTCATAGCTCCTGCTGAAAGTTTAGTCTAAACCAGTGGTTTTCAACCTTTTTTCATTTGTGGACCTCTTTGGAAATTTTGAATGGAAGTGTGGGTATTCCTTTGAATTATAAGTGTGGGTATTCACATACTTTTGATTGATCATAGTAATCTTTTGTGGACCCCTTAGACATAGTCTGTAGACCCCCAGGGGTCCATGGACCACAGGCTAAAAACCATTGGTCTAAATGTGACCCCAATTGTCCAGAAAATGATAGGCCCCAATCCTGGGGCTTGGAGTCTGACCAGGACATGTGGCCAATATAGGTCAATCCACACTCACCTTCTCAGGAATGTGAGATATGGGGGGAGTTTGAAGGAACATATCAGCCCCAATCTATCACTTCCAAAGTTCTCAGGAATCTGGGATCCAGGATTCATGGATGAATGTTTGTTGTTGGAGCGAGTTGCAGTCTGTCATAGTTTTACTGAGGCAGGGGAAAGCCTTTCAGGGAGGTGGTGGAACTCTGGCTTGGTGACTTTATGAAATCTTGTTGCACTAGTATGCAGGAGGAAGGCCTCTGGGAAAGCAGCCTATTGCTACTAACGCAGCCTATTGCTACTAGACCAGAAGTAACTGGGAATGCTGTGGCTGCAGTATGCTCCATCCCTGGAAAGAAGGGGTAGCTTTTAGGCCTGTGCAAAGCAACTAGTATTCACATCAGATTCGGCCAATTTGGGGGACAGTGATTCGATTCAGTGATTTGAATCACTGTCCCAAATTGATTCAGCCAAATCTGATTCGGAGATCTGGCTGCTGCTGAATCAGCCAAACCTCCAAATCGAACAGGCCCCATCCCCCGCCCCCTTCTAGCCCTGTCAGTGGCTACTCTGCCCAGCCCCAGTGTGCCAGCACTTTAAAAAAAGAAAAAAAGCTCCCGCTCGCTGGCTCCTGCCAGGTGGGCGGGGGGGGGATCCTGACTTCCCCGTGCTGCATGAGGGGCTCTGCCATGAGCCCCCTGACCCCTGCCCACTCTCCCAGCCACCCCCACCATTGGCTGCCCCACCCACCCCAGCTCCCAGCTCTTCAAAAAAAAAAAAAAAAAAAA